AATACGAATTGCATCAGTTTTTTCCTTGTACTCTTCAATTTTATCGTATTCTTCAGATAAGTTTTCTGATTTGGCGTCAACTAATAATTTATATATTTCTTCATCTAATAATGCCAAATCGTTTGCAATACGTTCAAAAGAGGAAAATTTAATTTCAATATCTTTACGAGTACTTTTATTTTCCTTACACATCGCCAATAACTGATTATAACGTTTTGTAAATGTTCCACGAACAGGAATTCGTTTGGCGATAAGAGAATCCATAATTGCAGTCGCCAATTAATATTGCAAATGAAAACTAACCTTTAAAATCCGGGTCACCACAATGTTTCGTGCTTCCGATAAATCTACCCGATCTATCCAGCGATGAAATAACTTAAATTTACAAGAAATACCTGCGTACACATATTTACAAAAGCAACCATTTTATTTTCGTAGAACACATCTAGCACAACATTCTTTCTGTTGCCACTCACACTTTTCATATATACACAGGCTAAAAAATCGTTTTAGTTAATATTTACACTTTAAATGAATGACGTCATCTTATGAGAGTGACGTAACAATTTTATTTTATTTTATGGCTTCGAACAGCCGACCATATTCTGAGTTTACGACAATCAATATTCAACTCTACAGACTTGTAATTTTGAATCCAATCCAGAAAACAAGGGAACTTCTAGATCAAGTATTGGGACTAAATAGCCGTCGTGGAGACCTTTTTGATCGAATTCACCAGTATTTGCGTTACAGGGAAAGGAAAACTCCCGGTTAGTCTGACGTCAAGGAGATTCTACCCCATGATCCGTTTACCACTGAGGATATTTTATGCCAGCCCACTAGTCGGGGCGATTCGGAAGCAGAATTTATATCAAGTAGACACTGTTAGAATTCAAACCTGGTTCACTTCATTGAGAGACGAACGCTCTATACCCTGAAACGTTTAAATTTCCTATGCGAAATAATTTAAAATACTAATTTATTTGTACAGATTTTAATTTTCGTAAAAATAAAATCGATAGATGCTCCTCAAAGCAATCAAGACTTATTTCTCCTAATTTTACCGATCAAAGCCCTTATCCAAAAGAGGATAAGGTGTACTTACGTTGAATAAAAAGCGTTAATGAAGCGCAAATAAATATACAGAAATAGAGATACTATAGTTTCGATGCCATTAAAAAGGAACTTTGTCAATGTCTAAACACCAAATGAGACAAATTAAGAGACAAGCACGTGCAAAGTGATTTATCCAGTAGGAACAGCAAAAGAAACTTGAACCAAAATATAAAAGAAGAAGGTAGATCAGAGATAGATTTTAGGAGGTTTTGTGGGAACATTTTCAAACATTAGAAAAGAATAGAATACTAGAAAATCATCAAACTATTAAAGCTTTTCACTGTACTGAAAAATCCCCAAAAATCAAGATTGATAGATGAAAACCAGAAATGAGTAAATTTACTATTTATTTCAGCTCATGTATTTCAGCTCCATGGGGATTAACTCAAAGTGGAAACTTATTTGCCAAAGTAGTCCTAAAAATTCTCTATCGGATTCAAATCTGGAGATCTGACTGGCCAATCCCTCCAATGAATATCCTTACATTCCATAAATTCCTCGGCATGTTGAGGATTATGTGGCCATGCATATGCATTGTTTTTCATTAAAATAAAATCAAAATCAGCGGAGTTGTTAAGGAGCAAACACAGGGTTCAAAAAACGCACATCTGCATTCAAACCAGTAACATTACTTCTTTTCAACTCATGGGATAGAGGTTGTGTGGAAATAAATGCCCTGCTGAGACCATTCGCTTTCAAGGATTTCTCAGGTATGAGAGGGCAGGTAGCTAGCGTGTCCTTGGTTGATACTTTGATATGGAGAGGACTGGGGCCTTCGTCACGATCTGATAAATTGGCAATAATGTTGGCAAAAGTTTTATGGTTTGATAAACTCCTCATGATGGATGGACACAATTTCTAATGCCTTTAAAAGAGCCCCTGTTACTATTTTGAGTGCAAAAATGTGCTTTGAATCTCTTGTTTTTATGTTCAATTCTTTTCAAATTAGACACTGGAAATATGCTTTATTTTAACTTTTCGAAGACCATGCATCGATTTATCCGATGAAGTCAGAAATCCGATATCTATTTATCCAATGAAGTCAGAAATCCGATATCTATTTATCCAATGAAGTCAGATATCCGATATCTATTTATCCAATGAAGTCAGAAATCCGATATCTATTTATGCGATGAAGTCAGAAATCCGATATCTATTTATCCGATGAAGTCAGAAATCCGATAAACTTAGTGACCGGTTAAAATAAGAATATACAACATAAACTTTACTTCTGTACACAATGAAAAAAAAAAGTTTTTATTTTTATTAAACTCCATTAATTTCTTTTTATAACGTATTGAAAAAGGAATATATTTTATTTCCATTAAACTTTTGACGTAATACTACATATTTTATTACATATTTATAATTGCAATTATTTTGCCCATAAAAAATCAAATTATACAATAGCAGATTTGTAAACAGAAAAATGAATAAAAAACATTCATTGATGATCATAAATTCATTATTTGAAAGCATGTAAAAGCAGTAAAGTCTTATTACAAATGCGATTTAAACATTTGCTTTGATGATTAATTTTCCATTGTTACACTGCTTGAGTTCTAGTTTTGTTTCCATTATCCATTATAGAATCAACAAACCACATATATTTAATTAAATCTAATATTTAATATTATATTGCTCAGATATATTTACTTAAACAACATGTGTTTCATAGACATTTACTACGAGATACTTGTAGAAATCAGAATTACAAACGCAAACTGCGCGATTTCGAGAAACGTAAGAATGTTCCAGAAGTCATTTAACACGAATAATAATTTTATAGCTTGGTTCATATTATATTTCTTGAGTTTTATTTTTTACATTTCATTTTAAACCCCATTTTCTAGACTTAAGTGGTAAAATAAGAAACCTCACTCCAAATTTACGATGAGTATTAAATGGGTTTAATGGATTTCAGATTGTTTTCTTTAACACAACGGCCTAAAAAAATGAAGGAATGAGATTTTGAAAAATTGTATTGCTCGTGAAAGATTTAGTAAGGAAAATTTGCAGTTCGTTGAAAAGTTATATAGCACGCATGCTGAAAAATAAATGCTAACGAATATTTTTGATATTTTGATTGTCGTGCAGAAAAGTTCGATCGGAAATCGTCACACCCCTCTCCCAAGTAATAAGAAAAAAAATTATTTTTATAGACAAGAATGAAAAAGTTGCAGGTCTTCGCTCGTCTAGTTTTCTTATTTTTTATTTTATATCCGCCTCTGAACAGCCAACCTAGTTTTTGGGTTTACGACTACTAATGTTCAACTCCGTAGACTTGCAATTTTGAACCAATCCAGAAGACAAGGAAACTCTTAGATCAGTACCCCCAGAGGTTTGATTGGTTATGGGAACATGGAGGACTTTGTGACTCGAAAGATTTAGCATGTATCAGTCACCATTTACTACACGGGGAATCTTGGGGCTGGCGAGATCGAACCCACGACCTTTTGGACATGGGCCCAGTGCACTTCCAACCAGGTTGTCCCGGTCTGCTCGTCTAGTTTTGGACGGAATGGTCAAATAAGTGAAATTTAACATTAATATTTTCTATCATTCCTGATGAATATATCTCCTACGCTAAAACGAAAATCAGTTCCAGACAATGATATTAAAAGAGATATTAAAACCCATGCGATAAAAAAGCTAAAAACTACAATTTCAAGCGAAAGTTGCACACTGCAGCAGAAATTTCGCAAGGAAATTCAAACCAATAGCAAATTTTAAAGAAGAAAACAATTAAAATTATGAAAAAAATGAAAAATACAGTAATGACAACCGAAGCTGACCTCGTCAGGGGGTACCAGATGCGGAAAACATAAAAATTCAAAACCTTTTCTGTCGAGAAAGCACGACAGATGTCTAAAATTTGCTCTCTCTGTACCCCAAAAGTATTGCAAGAAGGCCAAAAAGAGAGGAAAAGAGAATACAAAGTACAAAAAGGAAATACAAAAGTAAAATATATAAATCGGCAAATACATCCAGGCAATGGCTCTAACAGTTTAACTATGTGTATAGATTTGAACTATAATTTTACTTACAAAACCTTATAAACCCATTAACGCATTTGACATTACATTCTAAACTAGCCCATAGAGGGACAAGGCCTACTGTGCCCATCTAAGTTTTCTTGACCTTTGGGTTCTAGGGTGCAGGAACAGATGTTCCGGTTGGGAGGTCAGCCCAACGAGACCCACTCAGAATTTATCGACCCACTGAAGGGATGAGAGGCTGCGTCGACATTGCCCGGTTCGAGGAATGAACCAAGGACCTGTGAAACGACAGCGCGAAGCGCTACCACTCAGCCATCAGGCATCAAATTACTATCTAGACAAATGAAATATTTTTTTCGTTTATATATTTTTTGTGCTTTCTTTGAACGGCATCAAACAAGAGTCAATAAGATTAATAATTCAGAAGTAGAAAGAGTTTTAAGTATATATGATACTATTTTTAACTTGTACTTTCGTATTTACCCTTTTTTTCTATACTATATATCCCACCTAGTATAATTTTGTTTAATACTATTCTAATTTAAAATAACACAAGAAACAGTACCGCTTTTGACTAGATAGAAGCAAGATATTAATGTCAGAAGTGTAAATACATATAAGTCAAAAATGCTAATTTTTATACCTAAAAATTCTTATAATTACTGAACTAATCGGCAAATTTACTCGCGTTTGGTCTCATTCAATTCAACGTAATAAATAGAAAAAAGACAATACTTCACTTCACTTATCTAGATAGCAAAGTCAGATACGTAAATAGGTACAATTTAAACATAATATGTTTTGTACATAAAATTAGTTTAACTTCTAAACTATCGTCTTGAACTTTTTCTCAACCGATTCATCGTCAGAAAAAAAAATACCTCATTTGTCTAGATAGTAATATTCATACTTTCTCCACTTTCTGCTCCTTTCCCCTCTTCCTTTCAAGTTTCGACGAACGAGGTCATGCATCTTCTTACCACTTAGTAGACTTAAAAAACTTCACAGTTTTTTGTTGAGTTAAACTTTTTTTGCCAGGTTTAAGACCAATTTTTACTGTGCTAAAAGCATTCTTTTGTCAATATTCTTAACTGATTCCTCACTCACTCAGTAGATACGAGTTAAAAAAAACTAAAATATGTTTTATTTTAATATGATGTTGAGTTCTAATTTTATATCTCCAAGAGACTCTCTTTATTTTTTAAAAAAGCTATTCATTCATTCGTAAGTCTTACATTTTATACTTCATGTTTTGTAAATTGTAGACTTTATTAAAAGTCAACAATTTGCAAATTAGACAATTAGATCTTGTTATTTAGATTTTGCACGGAATAAAAATAATTCATCTAAGTTTTAACGAAACTAGCTTAGCACTTACCCACAAAGCATAGCGTTGATAAACAAAAATGAAAAATAATTTTAAAATAAAAAGTGCACTAAATTGTAAATCTCTGCGTTAATCGAACGAAACTTCAGTCTATCGTAAATTGTCTATTTATATTGGCAAATTTAATGCAAATATCAACTGCAAAATTCCAGCAGATCACCGAAGTCAAGCATTACTGGCTACGGTCAGTGTGCGGGTAGGCAACCACTTGGATCAGCCTGCGTAGGGACCGAGGGTGTGCGGTATGGGTCCTCGTTAAACTGTTCTACCGTAAAGTGCTCGACTTCGCGTGCAGGTCGTCGGGCTACCGAAGCGGGGGTACCATCCCCTCTGCAGAGGATCAAAATTGCGATGGCATGTCGTCAGATCATCCTCAGGGATGTTTCCCAGACCGTCGCCAATAGCCCATTGTGCAGCTCTAGTGCGACGTTAATGAACAACAACTGCAAAATTCATGTGTTTTAGTTTTCTAAAATTAACTGGTACACTAAAACATTGGTGTTCAGTTATGTAAAAAAAAAAATTTGAATTCATTTTTTATGAATACTTCATAATATTATATGCAACTTACCATTAGCAAGAATTTTTTCTTCTTTTGGACATTTGTAAAACGAAGGACAACTAGTGTCGTTTTTGTAGACGGGTGTGCAATCTTTCACTTCATAATGTTGCAAATATCGTTTTTCACAAGTCAAATTAGTAGTCTGGTTTTCAACTATATTGGAATAAATGGAGAAAGTAAGATTCTCACGAGATAATATTAATTATTTACATTATTGGCATAAATTCATATTTTACTGATATTAATGGAACGTTTAAAATTTAATTTGGGACAAAATCTCGCGGTCGAAATCTCCCCGGATAAAATCTTACGTATCGCGTGAACAAAATATCTCGTGGACATAATATCACGATATGTTCAGCTACCGAATCGATTTTTCGAACTTCAAAAGTGTTTTTGAAATTCCTCTGGAATAACATACATCGATTAAGGATTATATTGAAAGGAAATAAGTTGTTATTAGGATTGTTAAAATTTTTGTATGCCTTGCATAGCAACATTAATCGCCAAACTATTTTAAATATCGACATAAACGTTCTTCTTCAAGCTTTTATAGAAATTTATGCTGCATTTTAGAAAACTGAATCGAGTTTTTCAATGCATCTTTTTCATTTATGCTTTTTTTTCCTTTTTTTTCTTCAAGCGAGATTGATTTAGTTCACGCGATATTTTGTCCTTGCGATAGTTTTTTCGTGTGAGATTTTGTCCCGCGATATTCTGACCTCGAGATTTTGCTTGAACTCCCAAAATGTTGCGCTTTTCTTATAAACGATCTGGCGTTCTCTGTTAACGCGTAGGTTGTAAGTAAATATTTCGCCTCTGGAAGTTCTTCGTTGGTTCGTTCTCGAAAATGCATGAAAGGGAATCACCTCACATGTTGGTCATGATCGATTTAAACAAAAGTATTATAAATCAGTGTACAGGAAGACGTTAGTAATGACATTAAAACAGGATTGCGACTGGAAAAAGAGAGAAGTTGAAAGACATATATTAAAAACGCTTTCGAGATTCAACTTACAGTTAAATCTGTTTTGATGTTTATTGCATTCACCTATCTTTATTCAAATTTGCCAGATTTTTATAGCGTTTTTTTTCTTACTATCGCATTTCTAGTCGTCACATAGCTTTTCTACTATCGCATTTCTAGCTTAAATATTAATTTGCGACCCCAATCTGTATATTTTTATGTTTTCATTTTTGGAAAGGATTCCAAAAATAAATATCAAGAGTGGTTCTTAATGAACACCCTACATACTTACTAACAGGTCAAAACAGCCTTGACTTTGTCTCTGAAGCAATATTTCCTTAAAAGTGAATTAACTCCAAAATTTTATTGCATTCAGAGACACTACTCCTATTCTTTTTATTATGTGTTCCCAGAATATTATTTTGCTTAATATCACGTATTTTGTTTCATTTAAAAGAGTAATAAAACATTTAAAACACGATTAAGCTTGTGTCTGTTTAAAATCTCCTGAGATACGTTACGCCCTCCTGGTATGGATTGGGACCCTTGGTCCCCATTCATGGTAAGCTCAATGCCAATGCCTACTGCACTATTTTGGATGGCAATGTGCTTCCTACGTTGTGGCAGTTTTGCGGGGTGGACCCCTGTTACTTCCAGGACGACAATGCCAGATGTCATGTTGCGAAGGTCACCAAGGCTAGGTATGGTACCAATGGGGTTCATCGAACGGACTGGTCTGCCTAGAGCCCAGACCTGAATTCTATCGAGAACCTCTGGGACGAGTTGGATCGCCGAATTAAGTGGAGTACTACCCGTCCAAAATCGTTGAAGGAACTTACATGTCCTCTCCAAGCCGAGTGGAAGAAAATACCACCAGCCGTCACTCAAGGACTTGTGGAAAGTATGCCCCGGAGGGTTCACGCTGTAATTGCCTCTCGTGGAGGCTCTACCAACTATTAATTATGAATAAAGTCTGTTTTTCTTTTCAATCACACGTGTCTAAATACTTATTGGTAGATAGTGTATTACGTAAAATATGCAGCATAGTAGTATATCATTAAAGAAAAGTTCCTTTTTTAAATTGGTGTCGATGATTCATTTTAAAATAAAAAATGAATAACCAGATATCTAGTTATATTAAAATGAATTTTATTTCTTAAAAATGTTCAAACTTTTGTCTACAGTTGGTAGGGTATTTGTAAATCAAAGAAAAAAAATTAAAAATCAGACTCAACATCAAACATTGTTAGAAGTGACTGCGGATGATGGTAGGAAGTTAATTTAAAAGTATATTAATATAATTTGAGTGTTATGTAATTACGGGTATTCTTTAATCAACGCCCCAAAATATTATCATTAGAATCCTTGTCAAAATGACATTAAAAATGTATACACGTGACGAATCGAATATAAATATTCTAGCGAGAAAAGAACAAAAACGTTATCGAAATATGTTAAGTCACACTCATGTGAGCTCAACATGGAAGAAGCAAAAACACCATCGAAATACAGGGTAAAATGAAAGGTCTCCTCTGGCCACAGGTGAAAAAAATTTGTTTGTTAATTGTCACTTATTTCACCGAAATTTCCCCACATTTGTTCCAAATCACTTGCATTCAACTTTCTGTGGTATTAATAACACGGAAAGGAAGATGGATTGGACAACCTGTCAAATTTCCATTTTGTGACGTAGCTAAGTTAACTGTTAATCGATCCTAAAGTCAAATAGCAAAGCATCCTCATAAAGGTCTTTTTCTTACTTTGAATATAAACATAAACAAAAACCGGTTCTGAAGCATGAGAAGAGGTTTTTCCCTTTCTCAAGCATACACAAAGCAGAGCTTTGCCGGTTGAGCATTACGGAGATAATCTTACTTATGAGGCAAACATAAACAATTACACCGAAATAGTTAAGATGGTCCGCCCCGTTCGTGTTATGCATTTATTCCTGGCAGTTCAGGTTGTTCAAGCTGGCTCGAAATTTCAGAGGAACTGAATTTGATTTTCAAAGGTTTCATTAATTTAGCAAAAAATATCAAAAGTTCACATAAATTTGTGTCTTTTTTTTATTATTCATTTATGACCGATAATATTTCAAAGTAATTTCATTAACACAATTTCATCATCATGAGTACAATTATTTTAGATTTGTTTTGAAACGAATAAATTCTACCTTTGTTAATAAACATAAATTTTATGTTGTAGTATTGGTTGAAATACTCAAACCTTAAATTTTATTAATTGAAATCGTTATATGCAATAACGAAATTTTACATAAATCTAAATGCAGAGATTAAATACACCGTAGTGTGTACAATTATTTGAGAAATGTTTTACAGTTCTAATAGATTTTTTTAATAGTTTAGCACTTTTAATTTTAAAAAAGTGACCTCTATTAAAAATACTTCGAAATATGTTTAATTATATTAAAAAAGAAAGGATAAACGATATTAAAACCAGTTTAATTGCCAGATGAAACTTCTAATAGTAGCCTTCCAGCTTGTCTCTGTTAATTTTAGCAGTCAAGCTGGTTTTTTACATCATTTTCGAGCTGAATTCTTTATATATGCGTTAAAAACTATCATGGAAGAACAAATTGTGCATGAACTTGTTGAACTTAAAGTGTAGTCTTACTTTTTGATAATACAATCCGTTATCTCTACTAAGAATTTTGAATACGGAATTTTAAAAATATACAATGTACTAGTACAATTTTTAACTTTTCAAAAGTTCAATTTTGATGTTTCAGATTTATAAAAAAATATTCACCAACAACAAATATAAAAAAATTCAAATATTTTCATAACATTTACCTCCTATAACGATTCCAAAAAATCCAGTGAGGATCAACAGCAGCACCCTCATGCTTATAATGTAATTAGAACATTAGTAGAAACTCCACAATATTCAGCAACTTTTCGGATACTATCTTTCACATAAAATAAGGTCATAAAACATTTTGTAACCACGGATCATGCAAACAAATATGTTTTATTACCTATCTAAATACGAAACAACTGCTTATTCTATTTACCTAGTTTAATTTAGGAACTCAAAATCTGTTTTCGATTTAGAACAAATGTGGTCTTTACTTTTCTCTTTTCATAAAATAGACTGTTGTTCGTGAAAATTAAGAATAATTTTAACTAGATTAATTGTTGGGTTATAAAAAAAATCAGGAATTATTTTTCTTTTACAAAAGCATTGCAGCAACATTTATTTTTAAATGCTACCTGCAATAAAACGTACGCACAGAAATTTAGAAAAGACCTCAGAAAAATAAATCAATTAGTGTTTAAAGGAAGAATAAAAATATTTAAATAAAATAATATGTTTAGCAATAAAATGATATAAGAACAATAAACTCTAATTGAAATTTTAAAAAAAATTATTTTATACACTAAAAGGCCGTACCGTTAGAGAAAATTGGTTGATTATGATAAATTTAGATTATCGTGTGTAGGCCGATATAAAAAAATAACTTAATGAGGTTTAAAAGAAATGAGGCTAAAATGCTTAAATAAAATAAATGAATTAAAGACAAATTGATAATAAATACAATCAACGCTGACCATCTAGATCAGTGATTCTCAACCTTTTTTTTGTCGCGGCACACTTTTAAAGATTTCAAAAATTGACGTATCTATACACTTTTCTTTTGTTTAAACTTCACTTGTAATAAAAAGAGCATTGATTTCTATTATATCATTTCTAATATTTGGCGGCACATTTTAAGAATTTGGCGGCACACAAAAGTGCCGCGGCACAGTGGTTGAGAATCACTGATCTAGATTATCGTGATCTAGACTATAGTGATCTAGACTATCGTGAGTTGGGTTCTATTAATAAATCAGTGTTGGAGTAATTCTGAGTATAATTAATCATTATTTGGAGGAGTTGAACTTTTAAAACCAGTGCTTTACATAGTGATCTAGTAAGAACTGTGGTGCCTCAGGGGATAGAGCACACGCATCTCAATGAGGTAACCAAAGTTCGAATCCCAGCGATGACTGATCAATATGAATTCTGAACTCAGCTGGCACCGAACACGGTGCTGAGGTAAAATATCCCCAATGGTACAGTACTTGATCTAAGAGTTCCCTTGTTCTGCTGGTTCCGTAATGTGAGGTTTCACTGTATAGTGTATATATATATATAATAACAGGGCTCCAATTATATATAAAGAGAGAAAAAAAAACACGGAAAAAATAAATAACTTTTTTTAAGAAACAAATTATATAAAATAAAATATTTTAAAAGATTTAAATAAAAATAAATAAGAAGCCGGAAAAAAAAGATATAATCTCGTCATCAGTTCACACTTTTATATCCGTAAAAAAGTGTCTTCTAACATTGTCTTAATATAGCCAAAGCAATATACGAGTATCAATGCAATAGTGTGGGAAGCACCAAAAAAATTTAAACGATAACAGAACAAATTAAACAAAAATAGCGCAATATAACATATCAAGCAAAAAATTCAAGGAAATACAGAATAAAAATACAAGGAAATAAACAAAATGTAATTTATAAAGCGAGTAGCGAATTCATATGTCCTTTGCTCTCATCTTTCAAAAATAATTTAAAATGTTTTCGTAACAAATTTGCCAGATTACAAAATATGAATATGGATGCGTAATTAGAGAATAATGATATCATTTTATGGAGCGTTCTTAATGAAGTACAAAAGCGCGATTGATTTGTTAGTTATCTTGGATTGGCCTGAAACATGATGAGCATAAAATAATAGTAATTTATATACTGGATTATTCAAAGTTTGTGATTAATAAGTGTGATCTGTGATGGTTCAGGGGAGAGAGAGCTCGCCTTCCAACTATCAATATTCGTAGCCTCGTAGTTTTGAGCCTAAAACAGCAGACAAGTAACTCCTGGCAGCTGGTGGCTTGGGGGATAGAGAGTTCGTGTCACAATGATTTGATCCGGGTTCAAATCTCAGCGATGGCTGTTCGAAACAAATTTCACACCCTGCTCGCACCAACCACAGTGCTGAGGTACAATATCCTCAGTGGGACACGAGGGCATGAGTAAGAGTCCCCTTGTTGTTGGGCTGACGGTGGGAAGTTTCATGGTTTTCCCCTTCATGTAAGGCAAATGCGGGTTCATTCCATTAAGAAGTCCTCCACGAAGGCTAGTTTTCCAGTGTTTGATCTAGGAGTTCCCTTGCCTTCTGGGTTGGGTTCAAAATTATAAGTTTACGGAGTTTATATATAGGAAGTTATAAAGGTAAGGAGCATTGGTAGTTGTAAACTCAGAATTTGGTTGGCGGTTCAGCGCCATTTATAAAATAAAGTAAAAATCATCTAATATGGAAAACCACTAGGACGGGCAACAAATTATAATAAAAGGAAAACTATGCTATTTTGACAGATTTCATTGCGTCTTTCTAAGTCATTCAATTTTGTGCATGATATCGCAGTGTTAAGATGAATCAATTAATTCTTGACATTTTTTCAACCCAGTACGAATGACGAGTATTCTGCTAAAAAAATAATTAAGTGACTACCTGCCCTAAAACGATGGTGCATATTTCAAAATCTAATACGGATTGCTTGGAAATGATAGCCCTTAACATATTTGATAATGTAAAAATTTCATTTGATTCAAAAACTATAAAAGCGCAGAAAGTCGACGTGTTTCGAGATCTCGAAAATAAGGGCCAATTTTCTAGACTCACCAGACATTTACGCCTTGATAGTCTTGGAAATGACCGCCTATTTCTAAGCCCTCGAAACATACCAACTTTTCAAATTTTATAGTTTTTTAATGAATTAAGATTATACATTATCAAGTTTTTCATGCCGTTTTATTTTCTTTCATTATTCTGTGGCGCCAGGCATGGTGCGTAGGCGCCAAAAGAATCAACGGGATTACAAACACACGATCGGCAACCTTGGAACTGCCCCAGTATTTAAGAAGCTTCGAACTTTACTCAGTCTCTATCGGATTTCAATAAATTGTTCGATATTGATATAATCAGTGATAATTCGAATTTCAGCCCAATTACCGCCTTTTTATGCTCAGACTGCATACTATCAAAATACTATTAACTTTATCATACAACTCTACTCAAGGGGATCTCCCCAATCCAAAGATGATTTTCCCTTCAAAACTAAAGATTTACTCCTTAAGGACTTGACTTGTTGTTACAACATACTACAACTTCAAAGATATATAGGACCTCCCAGAATACAACAAAACAGAATCGATGAATCGGTTAGTGGCGCTTCGCGCCAAACGCCGAGATAACCCCAATATCCAGCATCCAGCATACTCAGTCTCTATCCCACACAGTCTTACTTAATTTTTATGTTTCTGTTTTTAGCTTGTTATGTTCAGTTGTTAAATAAATGTTTAGTTTATTGTTGTCATAGTTGTCTTCAACTTAATATGAGAGGGTTCCTGCCCCTCAATTGGTGACCCTTGTGTTTATT